GTTCCCTATTTTTATTTTTTATTTTTTTGCTGGGAGTTGGCAACCCTATTAGTTAGGTTGTTTAATATTTCCACTAAGCACTCTTTAAAATACCAGAATAGGGAGGATGGAGTAGGTTTAACTTTATTAGATTGATCAGTATTGCTGAACTATGAAATATTTTGGGTGCAGTGTATTTTTTTGCATACAGGTAAAAAAAAAAATAGCTTTAGTGTTTTGGGTTTTTTTTTAAACTTGAGTATGAACTTATACAAAATGCAGCAAAATATTAAAAAAAGCATTTTATTGATTATGAAATACCCTATATTGGATTTATATCGGTATCGGCAGATATCCAAATTTATGATATCAGTATTGGTATCAGACATAAAAAAGTGGTATCGTGACATCTCTAATATTTATATAAATAAATATAAATATACTTGAACGTAGTGAAAATATCTTGAAAGTTGAGTGGTTTTGAATCTTAACAAGCAATCAGAGAAATAAGCTTTTATGGCGTAAAAAGGCCTGCTGAAGCTTCATTGGTGAATCCACATGAATCTATTAAACCGTGAATCATTTGCATGATTGCAGACATAATTATAGATTAAAGGTTACAAGGTTCAGAGTACAACCTCTGGGATAGTGTAAGAACGGACTATCTGCAGCATACTCTAGGAGATGGTCATAATAAAAAAGAAAATAACACAGAAGTTGTAAGGGTGTGAAGTATTAATCACATGCACTTTCTCATTTTTTAGTTTGCTGTCATAGATTAAGAGACATTCCCCATACGTTCCCATCTGATGGAGCACTGGTTGGCAGTCTTTGTGAAGAGGCACCATGTTTCCTTGTCATGTAACCCCTTGGCCATCTGCTGAGCCTCCAGCCTCTTGCAGCAGTCATGCAAATCCAATGCAACCCTCTCAGCCCTTGCCTGATCTACTGTGCAGCTGTCCTGCCCCACCTTTAAACACCCACTCTGAGACACCCTCGCCGGATCCAATGGAGTCCCTAATTGTCGTAACAGAGTATGAACCCAGCCGACCGCCTGGAGAGGCTGGGGAGGAAGAGGTAAGAGCAACAAAGGCAAGGGTTCATGCTAGAGATGTTGATGTCTACTGTATGAAGTGTAAGGTTTAGCAGGATTTTACATATCTTTGTCTAGTAGAACCGTAAGTACATCAAGGTGCAGGTGAATAGAGGAAATGAAGTGGATGATTAGTAAATAAGAGAAGTATAAACCATTCAAATCCATCTCATGTCAGGTAGAAGAAATGGACAGTTCAGAGACGCCGGAGCCAGCTTCCTCTGTGGCAGCACCTTTCCGGACTCCATCCTGTGACCTTCTGTCTCATACAGTTGGTCGGCCAGAAGCTCTACTACCCGGAAGCCAAGAGCAAAGGGGAAGGTTAAACTTTTCAGACAGGAAACTCTCTCTGCAGGAGCGCTCACAAACAGCAACCTCACCCTGTAGCTCACCGGGACTTAATGGGCGCTATATTTATCCATCATTACCGTACTCCCCCATCACGTCACCTCATTCTTCTCCACGCCTGCCCCGCCGGCCCACTGTGGAGTCCCACAGTGTTTCCATCACAGACCTCCAGGTATGATTAAGCATTAAAGCTAATTTAGTTTCAGTTTTAATGGTATAAGGATTTTGTAGCTTGCAATGTGTTTCAGCCTGCGTTAAATGGAGAAAATATAGCTAAATCAAATTAATCGTGCTATATAATAAGTGTTAGCCATATTGGTAGCAGTAGTTTAATATCTACCACGAGTGCTAAGTGAGTATGAGTTATAATGCGGTTGCAGCATATGCCATAATAATTTGGTTATTATGTAATTTTTGCACCATGTGACTCATTGTATTCCCTTCAGCATTGTGTATTGCATAAACCATTACACATGGATAACCTAACTAATGACACAGAGCGAGGCACTAAAGTGCCCCACACATGTTAGTGTGTCATAAGTAATACCACAGCTGTCTGACAGTAAGAACTACATGTGCATTTGTCTTAAAATCAGCAGCAAAGTGATAAAGAGCAAGCTTTGTGGACACAAAGGTAAGGTTTTATAGTCCAAGTAGATGTAGCTGTGTAGCTGTTACATGTAGTTGTAGTTAGGATTTTTCAGAGCAGCAGGCTGAAGAGACTTTTTGCTTTCTCAGAATTACATATTGAAAGTGATAAAGGTTAATTAGGTGAAATATTTAGAGATATCCTGCAGATATGTCTTGCAGTCTAGAGAGGAGCAGTCAAATAAATGACATTTAGAAATGTGTTTTAATGATGTGTGGGACAGCCTTTGGAATGGGAGCCAAGACTGTAATATCAATAAGCTCCAACTTTATTAGCTCTGCCCTTCATACTGAAGAAAATCTATTGAATTTTTCCCTATTCTTACTCCTTTTTTGTCTCTCACAGCCTTTGTACTGCTAAGCTGTCTTTTTGACGCTCTTCAAAATGTCCTAGCACAAACACACACACCAAGCTCTTAATGACAATGGCGAAGAGAAGTATCAGGAAGAGTAGTACAACTGCCTAAATCTTGACGATATCTACATGAGATCTACATGATGTTAGATTAACCCTTTCACTTATCATTCTACTTTAACAATGCATTTGACTGAAAAGCCTTCACACATCTGTCAGCTCCTCTCTGTTTTTCAAAACAAAAAAATGGAAAAATGTTTAGATTAGCAGCTCTACCATAATTTACTGTGATTCTGTCATTGTGTACTGGTACTTTAAGGTGTCCTTGGGAGTTTTGAAAACATAGTTTTCAAATATATATACATTTTTCTTTGTGATTTATCCATTCTTGTCTTTGATGAGTCCTGTTGATTACAGTTGAATTTATTATTGATTAGAAGTGAAATTTGATTTAAACTGGATTGCATAAAAATTGAGTAATTGTCCTGATTTAGAGGGCAGCAAATCAGTGGCTGGTATGAAGAAATGTATTAAAAAATGTTAATGGAGAGAAAGTGTTAAAGGCAAATTTGAGGTTCAAGACAACATTCAGGCAGATTTTGTAGGAATACTCATGATGATGTGACGATTGTTTTCTTTTTTCCCCTCTCTCGCTCCCTCTTAAAGGACTGTGTTCAACTCAACCAGTACAAGCTGAAAGATGAGATTGGAAAGGTACCATGAGAGACAGCTCACTGATTGCTCCCTTTCACTGACTCTTCCATTTTCTCCTCCCGTCCGCCTACTGCATGTCTGTCAAGTAGCACATATCATCAAGGACAGTCTCTGATATCCTCCTTCCCGGCTGTCCTCATTTCCCAAACTCTGTGTAAACCACGAGGCCATGGGAGAGTTGGAAGATGGATGAGAGGCTGGTAAAAATAGCACTCTCTAAGGGTTGTGCAAGGCTTGGAGAGTGTGTGTGTGTGTGAGTGAGTGGGTGTGTGTGCCTATATGAATGTTTTAGATTGTGGGCATTGTTAAGGCAGAATGTGTGTGTATTTCCGTATGTAGGTAGACATTTTAATGTGTGTGCTTTTGAGCACAGTGGAGACAGTTAAAGCCTCTTTGAATTGTTGGAGAAACTTGTGTTATCAGTTTATCTCCGGGACTGTAGGATGAGCTGTGTGCTGTCTCTCCAATCTGCAATCTGCTCCCCCAGCAGGAACCGACACTGCCCTCTCTCTCTCTCTGTTTGTTTTTGTTCGTACACACTGGCTTGTAATTAGGCCTACTTTTTATCCTGAACTTCCTGTGTGTGGGCAGGGAAGCTTGATAGCATAAACCAGATCCAGTTTCCTTAATTAGCCTGAAATCAAAAATGAAAGAGAGAGAGGAGCGATGATTTGAAATTTCTCTGTTCTCATTTTGAAGCAGCCCACTCAATTCCCTTGTGTGTTTGTGTATTTATTCCTGTGTGTATCTATGTATTCCTTTGCATTTGCGTTACACTTTTAGTGTCACATTAAGAACTAACTGCTTAATATACATATTAGTGCTGTCAGCGTTAATCTCGTTAAAATGACGGGGCGATCCGCGCTAACTCGCTAATGGAGATTTGCCACATTAACGAGAGCAACGCTGACAGCACTATTTATTTATTTATTTATTTATTTATTTATTTATTTATTTATTTATTTACATGTTTTCTTTTTTGCTTGTTTCCGGACAGGGCTCCTATGGTGTTGTCAAGTTGGCTTACAATGAGGATGACAACACATACTATGTGAGTTTGTAATGCACATGCGAGTCCAGATGTGATTTATTTCCTTATCACAGGTCAGGCGACTGCTGGTTAACTTTGCAATAATCAACCCCTCTTGTAATATTTACTGGTGTGATTTGATGTGGAGCCTCTGCATGTGAACATGTCTCCAGATAATTGAGCTCATCGACTAATGTAATAACACATCATTTCAGGCTTTTGTGTTTTTGCCGTTCTTGATTATTGCTGCAGTTCACATTAAGCTGCATGATAGCGATTGACAACGACAAAGGGATTATTTTAATATTCCTCCCGAGTGACAAAGGCCTCGTGTCGCATTCAGTGATTATATCATTGACATAATAACTGAGGGCATTGAAGTTATTAAAGAATAGGGAAATATTCACCAAACAATGCCGCTGTTACACACCATGCTTTCTCTTCAAGTCTGATACAAATTCCTGTCAACCTTGGCAGTTTTTGAAGACATAATCTGGTGGAGAGAGAGACATTGGTCAGAAAGATCTGTCTAGACCAGGGATAGATACAGTTGTGTCAGTGTCTGCACAGTCAAGAACTGGCTCTCAAATAAAAGAAAAAGAAAGTACAATTCAACAGTATGTCAACAATGTTTACGCAAGGGAAATCACAAGAAACTGTTGGTCCACTTCCACACATCTTGGAATGCAGACATGGATAAGAGCTCCCAAAGCTCACAGGTGGGAGACTTGCGTGTATCCGCATCGCAGGGCATCTCTCAGCTGTTGTGCTCTTATCGTCTGCCCAACTTGTAGTCAGCTTTCTTCCCTTCCTCTGGGTCAGAGAGGTTGCGCTCTCAATCGCTATCGGGTCAGCTGAGGCACATGACTCCACCCTGCCACCCAGACTTCTCGTTAACCCCTGTCGGCACCTCCAGACGAAATTTGATGTTTGAAAACACTGTGTAGTGAATGGAGTTGGGCTTTCTTTATGACATGTAACCACTTAAATACCAAACTTGATAGGCGGTGTAGTGCAGTTGAAATGCTGTTTAATGTAAATGTGCAGAAAATGTGTCTGTTACGGCTCAGATTTCAATCATTTCACACCACGATTGAGGAAAGCTGTCTACAGTGACAGCAGTGACAAACACACCAAGCATTTTCAAGCTACAGAATTTCTAGGTTTAGGGTGCAAGTGTAAGAAACCTGTAAGCATGCTGCTGTTTATCTTTTCTTTGGCTTTCTTGGCTGCTGGACTCTTTCTGTTTCTCTTAACCTGTTGCAATCCAACTAAGTTTCCCTCTCTGTGCTGTAGGCGATGAAGGTGCTTTCCAAGAAGAGGCTGATGAGGCAGGCAGGTTTCCCACGTAAGTAAGGGCCATATTTCTGTGTAAGGTCTCAGTCATCCAGTTCATGGTAATCTAAAGAGCTTGGAAAGAAAAGCGACTGGACTTCTTTAAGTTTCTTGAAGACGTGTCACTTCTCATCTGAGGAGCTTCTTCAGTTCTCAAAACCAATGGTGGAGCGTCCCAGGTATTTAAACCCGAGTGGAAGTTCTCCCTTAAGAGGGTTGTTGACCTGCTGTTGATCATGTGTCTCATCACATGGCCAAGGTGTTAAAAAGCTTCTCGGATGAGAGATGAAACATCTTCAAAAAGTCAGCTTCTTTCCAAGTTTCTTAGATTCAGGGCCAGAGCAGAGCATCTGTAATGTCTGTAATGATAATGTTAACGTTAACAGCACATACCAATACTTAGGATTTGACTCTATCTTTATCCTGTCCCTCTACCCTTCCCATATTGTCCCCTGTTTCCTCCATCAGGGAGACCTCCTCCTCGTGGGGCAAGAGCCGCTCCCGAGGGGCCTGCCCAACCTAAAGGGCCGCTGGAGCGAGTCTATCAAGAGATTGCCATCCTTAAAAAGCTTGACCACCCTAATGTAGTCAAACTAGTAGAAGTGAGTAATCTTGTAAAACATGTGGATATTTTCATTTGATCTCTTAAGGATTACTTATTGGTATTACGCTAATTTTAAATAAGTTAAGAAAGGAAAGGAAACAGCAATGGCATTTTGAAGAACCTTAAAATGTACATAAATTGTGTTAGACTGTAAAGCTATCTTTCTACTCTATGTATTCTTATTAGAAATTCCACCGAAGGTATATTTAACTTTGCCTGGTACAAAAGATCAAAAGATGATCTGTTGTGTATCTGTGTTCACACATTTCCATTCCTCTTCAATGTGGTGCCAGGTTTTGGATGACCCTGGTGAGGACCATCTGTACATGGGTATGTTGTGGCCAGACAACAACACATCACAGCAAGCATAAAACAAAGTCAATTTTAACCTCATCTTTAAAAGATGTGTTTTGTTTTTTTTTAGTTTGCTTGTCCTCACTAACCTCCTTTGTTTTCTGTTACAGTGTTTGAGCTGGTGAAGCAAGGGTAAGCTAAGCCTCTTATATGATTGTGACACTGGAATGAGCCCAGTCTCATTAGTTATGATTGGTAATTGAGTGTGTTTGTGTGTGTACCTGTTGATGTTGTACCGTGTGTATCTAGGGCTGTGATGGAGGTGCCGACCGATAAGCCTTTCAGCGAGGACCAGGCACGTTTTTACTTCCAGGATCTTCTCAGGGGAATCGAGTACTGTGAGTTTTCAAAACCTCCTGCTACTCTTCCACCTACCCTGTGACTACATTAGTGTTTATTACGCATGTGTAGATAGATTTAATCTGACTTGCAAAGTGAATAAATTTTACTCAACAGATTTTATGTTGTTAACCCACCAAGATGGCCAGCACTGTGTACAACATCAAAATGGCTCATTAAACAAGTTTACCTTGGTCACGCCGACTGTGACAGTTGTTCTAGTCTTTAAATGTTGTTTTTTTCAGTTTGTACAAAATAAAGCACTCAGTGGACACTTTATTAGGTACACCTTACTAATACTTGGTTGGATGCCTTCAGAACTAATCTTATTCTTCATGACATAGATTCAACAAGGCGATTAATAAAGGTGTGTGGAAGAAATCCAAGTAGATCATTGGTTTCTGAAATATTTAGACCAGCCCATCTGGCACCAACGACCAGGCCACGTTTAAACTCACTCAGATCACTTTTCGTCTCCGGACTCCATTCTTCGGCTGGACCTTCAGCAGGTCTTCTTGACCATGTCTACATTGCTAAACGGTACTGGGTTGCTGCCATCGGCTGATTAAATGTTTGTGTTAACGAGCAGGTTATCAGGTGTACCTAACAAAGTGGTTGGTGAGTGTATACTTGTCAGATTTAGAGGCACCAATTTCAAAAGCTGAATATCTTTTTCATTATTGTTTGGACAAAATTCTGAGATTCAGTTTTTCATTTTAATTTTTCCTTGCTCATATAACTTTGTATGTATTCATATGACATCACCTTTGCATTCTGGTAGCCCAGGTTTTCCTGACCAGTTGAACTAATAATAGCACAAATACAGCTTAGACCATAGATCTGAAATTGTGTTGCGTCATTTCTTTAATTCAGTCTTCTCTTTGGAGAAAAATATCAGCCAGAGATGTTTTTCCCATACTAATAGTTTTGTTTAAAAATGAGCTCATTACAGTGATGTTGCATAGTATCAGCATGTCCTTATAGAGATAAAAGTCTGCTAATGCTTTCCATTAGAATTATGATTGTGGTAAGAAGATGAAGCTCTGATTGTATAATCAAGTGCTGTCCTCCTACAGCTCTTCCCTGCCATTTACACAAGGCCTTCGTCTGAGCTGCTCTTGACTCTAGCAACACTCCACAAAGTTCATTTCACATAATTTCAGCGGCTTTTAATGCATATCAGTGCAAGCAGGGATGGACACAAAAACAGTCTGGAGTCATTTGGAAAGGAAAGTAGGCTTGTTTTAGTCATGGTGCAGGTAGATTAGTTAAAAACAGTTTAAATAATTAAGGCACACTTAACTCTCATTTTCACATCTTAACCAGGTAGTGTGGACATAATTTATCATCATTTACCAAACGTCTACCTGGCTGTCTAACTACACTACCAGAGATTTTTCTTCACGAGTCCAAGCCATTAAAAAAAATGGTCAAGCCGTTTTTCACCATTAGAACATCTTAATTCTGCCATAAAGTGAATACTACGAATGTGACCCGATTGCGATAATAAAGTTTGTTCGTTTTTTCTGTTAATAGTACATTACCAGAGGATCATCCACAGAGACGTCAAACCGTCGAATCTGCTGGTGGGAGAAGATGGACACATCAAGATTGCAGACTTTGGAGTTAGTAACCAGTTTGAGGGAGCTGATGCCCTGTTGACCAGCACAGTTGGAACTCCTGCTTTTCTTGCTCCTGAAACGCTCTCTGAGACCAGAAAGAACTTCTCTGGAAAGGTGAAGCAGTATTCGGCTAACTAGTGCCCTCTTGGGATGACTTTCAGAAATGCAAGAACTTTTGTTTTTGATTTTCTTTTTCCATTAAAATGTTCCTGCTTTCCAAACATTTATGAAATTTTGAATCTCAGCTACCCAACAATCATTTTCACATCAAATTAAACCTGTTTTGCTTTTCTGCTAAGGCTTTGGATGTTTGGGCCATGGGAGTGACGCTGTATTGCTTTGTCTTTGGAGAGGTGAGTTGGGGAAAAAACATTAACATTTTTTTGGTACTAGTGATCCTGCTAAAATCGACACACTTTTTTTGTATTCACAGTGTCCATTTATGGATGAGCGCATTCTCAGTCTTCATCAAAAAATCAAGACGCAACCCGTGGTGTTACCAGAACAGTAAGTTCTGCCTTGCTCTTTTAACAGATGGCTGTTCCCAGTGTTTATTAATACAGTGTTTATTAATAGCATATTTATTAAATTAAATACACAATTTTGGCACTTTCTCAATAACATATTTACTCAGTTGTCTAATTAGTTTTTGTTACAACAGTGCCGACATATCAGATGATCTCAAGGATTTGTTATTGAAAATGCTGGACAAGAATCCAGAGACCAGGATAACGATCCCACAGATTAAGGTAAACACACGGGTAGCTGCCGGTGGCCGTGTGTCATGTTTAAATATCACACACACACAAAATGTCAAAAGGATTATTGTTCTTTTGTTTGGACATTACAGTCTTTTATGTCATTAAATTCATAAATCAACTGTTTGTGAAGTATAATCTATAGCAGTTTACATATATTTATAGATATGAATGAATAGCTTACGTTGATCTAACAAGTATAATTTTGCACTTAGATTCAGCCTGAGTAAATTTTTACTGTTGTGCCTCCAAAGACACTGTCTAAGTTTATATGTGTGGCACATAATCTGATTACTCAAAGAACTCCTTTGTTTGCCTTGTGCTTGTGTCCAGGTACACCCATGGGTGACAAGGCATGGTGCTGAGCCACTTCCCCCTGAGGACGATAACTGCTGTATGCTTATTGAAGTAACCGAGGAGGAAGTGGAGAATTCTGTTAAACACATCCCCAGCCTGGCAACAGTGGTGAGTTTGTGAACAATGTTTGTCTCACAAAAGCATTAAAAACATTACAGTCACTTCAGACCCTAATTTGCTTTTCTCTTGGTGTCATAACAGGAAATATCACATTTGGGTATCATTTATGGGCAACTCGGCTACAATGAAAGAGTAATAAAAAGTACCAGAGAGAACGAATGCTCCATCAGGAGCAAAAGATTATTTCTTAGCAAATTTGCATTAGTATAAATTAGCTTAATTACTTAGTACAACAGAGTGTTTTAGCAACTTATGAAATAGAACCCAGCAAAGTTGCAAAGAGTAGAGGTAGTGAAGGTAGATAAGTTTAAATACTTGGGGTCAACCATCTAAAGTGCAGGTGAAGAAGACCGTGCAGGCAGGGTGATGTGGGAGATAAATATCATGGGTGATTTGTGACAGAAGGATAGCAGCAGCAGGAGGGAAAGGGCAGGTTTATAAGACGCTAGTGAGACCTGCTATGATGTATGGTTTGCAGAGTTAATTTCGAGATTTTCCCTAGGAGAGACCGGGAATAGGAATAAGCACATCAGAGGTAGAGCTCAGGTTGAGTGGTTTGGAGACAGAGTTAGAGAGGAAAGGCTGGGATGGTTTGGACACGTGCAGAGGGGGATAGTGAATATATTGGACAAAGGATGTTAAAGATGGAGCTGCCAGGCAGGAGGAAAAGCGGAAGACCTCAGGGAAGGTTTATGGATGTAATGTAGGAGGACATGTTGAGCGTTGGTGTGACAGAAGAGGAAGCTAGGGATAGGGTGAGATGGAGGCAGATGATCCGCTGTGGCGACCCCTAAGGGGAGCAGCCGAAAGACGAAAAAGAATTTCAGTCACATTGCACCATCCCACAGCTGAGGCACTGCACCTACTCAGTTCCTCTTTCAACACTTTGAGCTACAGCAGATGCATGACTCATTTTTTCAAAAAAAAGATTTTCTTTAGCTGCATTAATTAATGTTGTTTAACATTTTTGTTTGACTTTTAACTTAAAAAAAGTTAAAAGTCACAAATGGAAAGTACATCTGACTTCCAAATTCATCAGATCTACCACGACATTGCCATCTGTTATCACAGCAGAAACATTTTCTTAAATATGAATTACATATTAATGATATAGTGGTTTTTGATGAGTACTGCATACTGTTTTGTAGGACAATAACATCTAGGAGAAATCAGTTCTTTAGCTGTGTTCTCATTGTCAGGGCTCTAAAATGAAGGACATTTTTAAAATGTATAAAATTGAAGCTTTTCATCTTTACATTACTAAGTACTGTTTACTTTTTTGAAGATCCTGGTAAGAACTATGCTCAGGAAGCGATCCTTCGGAAACCCCTTTGACTGGGGCCGGAAGGAGGACCGCAGCAGTTTGTGTCCTCCAGGGCAAACCCTCACGTAAGCACTGTTTACAAAAACACTACAGTTTCTAAACTCTATAGAAAAAGGCAGCAGCAGAGCCAGCCGAGGCTTGCCGAGTAGTTTGTCTGAAAGACTGTTGGTGTTATTTCTCTCCCCCTTCTCCTGCCCTGTAGGAAAGGCAGAGCAGGCAGTGTGAGATACTGCTACATTCATTGTAACCAAAAAAGGTAAATAATGCTGGCATAGTTCTTGCCTGCTGTAATGCTGTTTAAGTGGTCAAGAGAATATTTTAAGACCCGCTGGCATGATATAAGCAGCTGTCTCCCAGTATGGTGGTGATGGTCAAATACTCCTGTGCATCACATTTGTTAACTAACCTCTGGTGGTTTGGGGATGTCTGGAGAAGCCTTGTTAGGGAATGTTGAGCTTCACTTAAGAACCTTCAGTACCTGCAATCCAATTTCCTGTCGTTATCTGTGTCTGAGGGTGCTTTTGGTGTAGTATGAACTGTGTAGCGGGGAAATACTGTAAATATGTCATTCAATTAGGCATTCATATAGTGGAAGATAAATTAGGACGCACATAAGCTACTGAGTGTAAACAAAACTACGCGAACAGCGGGTGACCAGCTGATACGCAGAACCATGTCCTTTATCACAGAGGGTTCATTAGGTTATTAGTTTTTTTTTTCTGGGTTGACCCACAAAACAAAACAAATTAAAGAAGCATTTTAAAAGTCAAGTCATAATAAAAAGCATTTTTGTCCACACTCAGTTCATCATGGGCCAAGAGCATCCATTTATCTTCATGTGTTTTTACTTTCCCTTGCATGAAGCAGTTTTGACATTTAATGAAAGGACATGTCTGTAAATTAATGCCATCTTTACTTTTTTAAGATATTGTTTCCCCGCTTTCACCAGTTTTTGTTTTTTCAACCTTTCCTGGGGCTCTCTTTCACCGTATCTGCTGTAGAAATGAACTCGGTGTACTCTGCCATGTAACAGCTAAATGGTTGCTTTGACTTAGTAAACAGGGCTTAATAGTATCTGATTATTTTCTCTGTTCAGTGAAATAGGAATGACAGCGAGCCTACAGCACTGCTATAACTAACGCTGCCTCTCTGCTGTGTTACTTAGGAAACAGGAAAGCGGTGACGGGATGAGAAGTATGAACCTGCCCTACGTGGGAGAGGATGAGACTCTTTCCTGATGCGGGAGGTTTAATATGCACGCTGGCATCTGGCTGCCTGCAATCACACAGCACAAAACCCCTTTACTCACAGTTTTATACTTGCAGCCCACACATCATTTCTTGGGAGGTGGTCGAGTGTGGCAGACACTAACAAAAGGGAGGAAATAATGCTCTAAGGCACTTTGATGATCACTTTCTAAGCTTTTATTCTGTCCTGTCCTCTTACACAGTTTAATTTAAGGTTATGGGACTTAAACTGTAACATGGAAACCATCCAAGGGTGGAGCATCCTCCTTTACTTTCAACCTTCGCCCCTTTTTGCCTGGCCCACTCCTTCTCCTACCCTGCATGCTCTTATAGTCCTAGCATGCTTTGTCTCAGGCTTCAGCTGTACAGTTTCGGGTTTTATCATAGTCTAGCCACTTGTGTTTCAGGTATACGGGACGAAGGAATATTTGGAGGGGGGTTTTGGGTGGGGGGCAGGATGGTTGTCTTCACCATCACCACCAACATTTAAATAAGCAGTTTTCTTAAAAACGATTGTCTGGTTCACTCTGCTTCGTGGTAGCAGTGCCCAGTTTGGTAACACATTTTAGAGTGAAGTATCTATAGAATTTACCCAAAATGGGGGGAAAAAGGAGAGTGAAAAAATGTTTACTTCACCGAATGCATGTGTTTACTTTCCCAATGCAAACACTGTATAAGCTATTTCTAAACAGTTACATTGTTGTACAGCCATTACTTTTGTTTTTTTTCTCATTTACTACAATCAATAGCTTTCAGAAAGCTTTAATACAGTTGATATAGTGCTTTGTGAATAATAACATTCATTGCTGCATACAAGAGGGCATAAAAAAGTCATCCTTCCTCTTTCCTTGTTTTAAAGATCTAGTGCTTCTGGTGAATCTTTTTAAGATGTACTATTATGTGATTTTTAGGTGTTTGCTATAAATCCTGCGTGAAGGTGAAGGTGAGCTACTACCTGATGCGTTTGGGGGAAAACACAACGTGTTAGTTCTAAATGATTCTGTAGGTTAAACGTGTTGTTGAAGCTGTAAATCGGTCTGTTTAGACAAAAACGGGCTTTGTGGTCGGATCCCGAGCGTCACATGATTTCACTGTGTTCACGTATTTGTTTCACTTCTCCAAGTTGAGGTCTGTATGCAGACAAATTAAACAGAAAATCACAATTGAACCTCAAGCTTAAAACGACAACAACAAAAAACTTGTGAATGTTTTTACTAGTTTTGTTTGTTTTTGTATTGTAGGAGGTACCGATATTATGTTAAAACTGCACATTTCAAAGTCATTTTGTAAACTATGATAAATTGAAATAAATAAATAAATAATGCTGATCTATTAGAAATGGTTGCTGAAGTGAGTTTAAAATGGAAGCATAGTGCAAATGCAGACTTTTTGTACAAATCTATGCATGGCATATTGTCGAAGTGTTGAACTTAGAAACATTTCTCATGTTTGGTCTGGGCTGTAGACAACTCTGCAAATATTTCAACTTTTAAAGTAGGTTTGTTTTTGTTTTTTTGTTTTTATTAACGAGCTTCATTTTCGGTCCTAAAGCATTAAGTTATTTATGCCTCAGCAGTAAAAGGCTGATGGGGGTTGTCGTCACCCTGCCAGGACGCTCAAGTTTATTAATGCGATAACTTGAGAATGAAGCGACGTAGGAGTTTCAGATTGTAGCTACTAAAAATCTCTGACGGGTTTAAATCTCAGTGATCTTGACCTCAAGGTCAGAGGTCAAGTTTTCTGAAATGTAAATGTGATAACTCGAGAACAAGATGACGTAGGAATTTGAAATTCAGACCACAGGTGCATCTAGTAGGAGGCTGAGGGGTACCACTGGCCACTGCCAGTATTTCTTTTTCCTCCCACACTTTTGTACATTTTGTTGAGCCATCATTGTTTCCCTCATCAGTGTGTCTTTAGTTAACTTAGCGTATTAGCACGATATTGAAAGTAGTTATTACATTCAATGCTTCCACACACTAATTACTTCAGCACTAACGTGTTGAATGTATGAGAAAGGGACTGGAATCTTTTTGTACGTACTTCTTCTTGCATGTCACTCTGAACTGTACTGTATGTCTGTTTTTTAAGACGAGTACTATGCACATGGTGTAACTTAATGGTGCAACGGTACGCCCTGTCAGATACCTGTCATGTACACCGTCCACACCCACCGAGTTGAATCTTTAGGGCTGTATGTGGTTAATTATTTTTGCTCATGTACCTTTTTTTTCCCCTAAAAAAAGATATCCACCTTAGAGCGTAGGGACATGCACTTTGGTTTTAGACTTCCAATAAGGTTAAAATTAGTTTTGAAGTGTAATTTCGGTGAAGATATCCAACAAATAATAACGTTTATCTTCAGTTTGCTCTGGATTGTGGACTGTTACCACATAGTTGTAACATAGTGCACCTACTGTAAGTTGCTGTTAACTGTCAGATTAATTTGTTGTCATGAACATAAGAAGACAGATGCATTTCCTTTGGTGTGAATATTTTCCATAACCAACAAGAGTAAAGTGAGCTACTGTTTGAGTGTGAATGTGGGGTGCAAGTCACAAAAACAACTGTATGATAAATATTTTATACAGTATTTAAACTTGTAGCTGGTTTCAATAGACCTGCCCATTGTTGCCAGAATGGTCAGGCTAAGTGATTAACCTTTATTGTTCACACAATTTTGCATTCTGTAGTGTAATTAATTTTATTAAGAGCTTTTGGGGGGGCGGGCTCTTTTCCTCCTAAATGCATGCTAACTACTGAACACATACCACTGTATTGTCATAGCATGAGAGGTCCTTTACATCAAATGGGACCTTTAAAGTAAATATTCTCTACATACCTGTACCTTGTTCATAATTTGAATAAAGTATAATTGCCTTTCTGTGATGTTGTGGATTGAGTTATTGATGCAGTTGCGGAGGTAGACCACTAGTCTGTGCTGTGCACCAGAACATACTGTGATTCTTGAGAGGCTTAATATCACATTGTGCTCTTTGTATGTGTGTAATGCACAGCGGGAGCAACATTTCTGCATCTACCACATCCTTACAAACACTTAAACACTGTCGTGCTTTAATTCAGCAATTCACGTATACACATTTCATGTGCTCAGCACGCTCGTGGACGGTTGTTTTTCAAAAATGGGGTTTGGTTAATAGGAAATCTGCATGTGAATCCTGAAAGTAATTTGTCCTGCTTTATTTGTCAAAAAAAGGCTAAAGATAAAACAACACAAATCTGACCTCGTAAAGAACATGTCAACAAGAAATGCTAAATGATCAAATGGCACTTCTTCAGGAATTCTATGCAGGATTTACGGTTTAAAAGTGTCCAAGACCGTTTACAAAACATTTTCATTGACCGTAATGCTAGATGACAGACGAAGAAGTCACTTTGATAAGTGATTTTCTCTGTACACCGCCACCAAAGCATATTTCAGATCAAAAAATCAAGATGTGAACGTTAATTTGAGGCATTAAATTAAAGATTAGATTAATGGCCTAGCGAAGCCAGCTGCCTTGATATTTCATGACAAATTAAGAGGATAAAAGACCTGCAGTTGATTCCAAGTATTGAACTTCCCTTTCTGTCTATGGTAACTCTTTATGTGAGGTCCGATTAGAGTCAGTGCATGTGAAAGGATTGTTTTCCACTAGTGTTTATTGATGATGTGAATGTTGATAGAAGTAACAGGATGAACTGTGAAGTGTACAGAGCTATACTCTCTGCTCAGATTCAGTCACTTGCTGCAAAACTGATCTGACAGTGGAATGGATAATGACCCAAAGCAAACTGCAAAAGAGTGTCTAAAGGCAAAGGAAATGGAACATTTTTCAACAGACAAATCAGTCACCTGATCGAGCCCACAAACAATCAGCAACCAAGTATACGTTAACCAACTATAACCAAGTAACCAGCTATACTTATATTTAAAACGATGTTTGTTAGCCTCTAAAAATTGGGCGTCTTTGTATAGAAATGGATACAATTCCTCAACAGTGAATGCTTTTGTTCAGTCTGATTTACAATCCTCTGTAGTTGTTCACAGTGGTAAAATTAGCTGCTGGACTTAACCATGCTTGGAGACCAGCGTCCATTTAGAAAATGTCCAGTGTGAAAATTTGATATCTTTTACAGAGTTACAGATGCATCATTCATATGATTAATGAATAACTCTGATTTCAGAATTCATATATGCCCAAACCTGCAGTTCTTGTGAGACTTTTTTAGTTATGTTTCCATTACAGATCATAAACCTGACATCGACTATCGTGTAAACTCACCTTCAGAATCTAAACTCCAGTGGAGGCTTTAAAACATTTAGGGAAATAAAGTGTCACACTGACCTCTTGTGTGAATTTAATTGTATTGCAGTTGCCCACGTGAAAAGACAAACTTTATTTTGGAAAGTTGTTTGTCATGACTGAGGTGGTGGTGAAAATTCATTCACGAGGGAGGTTTCTATTTAAACACTCATCTCTGATTTTGTTGATGTTTACACTCGGATCAATGTTAGCTAAAAGTCTCAATTTAACATTAAAAATACAAAATATTAAACTAGAACAACAGAAGAATCAATTGTTTCTGCTTATACTATGATTAGAAAACATTTTACTGTTGATATCAAAAGAAGAAAGAAATGTGAAACTTCGACCGTTCTACAAGCAGTCGTGAACTTCAAAACATAAATGCATAAGTATCCAAAGGGCAGTTTTGAAATGGATCACAAATTCGCTGCAGCACAGTATAATGCTTGCTGTATGACAAACTGTGTAAATGCAGCTTAGAGGCTTTTGCAGGTCTTGAACTGGTTGGTGTGTTGCACTCCCCACGGGGCACATAAGGAAGCCTAAAACGCCTATATCAGCAAATGAGAAGTGCTGAATGAGACAGAATCTGGGCCTTCGCTTTACTCTGAGTAGCACTCTGTTAATTGTTAACATGCTGGAGGTAAAAGAAAAACACCAACGAACAAAACACTCAATACAATAAAGGCATTCATAAGAGACCTACTTCTCCATGAGAGATGTTTGTTCCCAACCTCTTTGTTCACTTTCTTTAGTTTCCTAAATTGAGGCTGGTTGCAATCTCTGCATCTCTGGCACACCAACTGAATTGAATTTGCAGCCAGAGCAACTCTTGGAAAGATTAAAGGACTGTTTGAATCGTGCCATAAAACACTGTTTCTCAAAGTGATGTCAGGGGTTCCCTAGGGTTCCATGACCCATATCTAAGTGGTCCAAAGAAAAATGTGCTATAAATTATAGAATTGTGCTGCAATATTAAAAGGTGCATGTCTGAAGATTACAACAACACAAAAATACTGTGCTACATTATCTTTGGGGCAATACAAACTTATATGATCATGAGACATCTGCGTTATGCTTTTTTGAATAAACTGACCGTAATTTTTGCATGAAACTTAAAGGTAAAAGGGAAATATGTGAAAGGCAGTGCTGGCCTGGGAAAGAAGTGGACTTTTAGACTGGTGCTACATAGGTTGTTGTTGAGTATTAGTTGTCTGTGATGTTTGCAAACCCTGTTTTGCATATCAAACTCAATGCAAATGCTCCACTCAAGCTCAAAGAGTGCGAAGAAAAAGAGAGATAGAAGTGGAAAAGCGGTGTACAGAAGGCAGATTGTGTTAAAGGCAAGATTAGGGACCCGAGGTGTTTCAGGAACAGGGAGATAAACTACCTTAAAACTTCTTTTTGAGAGTGAGGAATACCTTATCTGCAATTTTGTGCGTGTTGTGATAACGTGTAGGCAAAATAATTCAGCTTTTGCGGTATGTCACAAAATTTCTTTTTCCACTTCAAAGCACATACTAATTAGGCACTGACGCTGAAGTGATAGCAAGGCTTGTTTGGGAGCTACAGTTAGAACAGCAGGGCTTTTTTATGGCATACCTTTTGGACAGCAAACTTGATTGCCTGAGTTTTAACTTTCAAAGCTACTCAGACTTTGGCTTTTGTTTTCTCTTCCCCATTTGCCACCAATTAGTTTTCACTTTTGATGCCTTGATTTTGCTGTTGGATTCTTCTTTTGTAGTCTGAAGTGCAAAGACAAGAGCTACTGCTTTTACAGTTAGCCTTTAGTTCCTTATATATTTTGTACTTCGACAGTGGCTTGCTTTTTCAGGCCAGGAAACTCCTCCTGCTTCCCTCTAAGTACTCTGGTTCATTGATTTAATTGGTGGAAGTTAGTCGATGATACAGTGATAGACTGATGGTTCATCTAATCACCTGTCAGTGCTCTGTTTTTGCCAAGGAATTTCCAAATGGAGATTTCCTGGCACTCCCATGTAACAACCCATCTGCATGTCATGCAGGCCGTATGTCATTTTTTTCTCTATTATACTTGGATTTCCATTAATCAGTCTACAGCATAGAAAGAAAAGTGACTCCATTTGGGCTGAGTGTTGTATATTAATCTTGGTCTCGAGGCATTTCACTGAGACTTTTTCCCACATAATCCTACTTTATCTCCTATGAAGTTAACTTCTAATCTTCTTCTTTCAGCTACTTCCCTCAGGGTTCGTCGCAGCATCCCCTCATCTGTCTCCATCTCAGCCTATCCCTAGCATCCTCGCCCTGTCACAATAACAGCTCTGCATGTCTTCGTTCACTCCATCCATGAACCTCCTCTGTGATCTTTTTATCTTTAACATCTGTTGCCAGTATATCCACTATCCCTCCTCTGCACATGGTCAAACAATCTGAGCCTTGCCTCTCAACCTTTGTCTCGCTAAAACTAACCTGACCATTCATTCACACTCATTTCCAACCTGAAAATCTGATCATCTTCAACTCTGATAACTCCAGCCTCCTTTTGTTTTCAGAGCCATGATTTCCAAAACATACATCATTGCAAGTCTGTCATCTTTTAAACCTTCCTTTTCACTCTTACTGTCCCTCTGTCATAAATCACCCCCAACACTCATCTCCATCTCCTCCGCCATGCCTGCACTCTAATTTTCACCTCTCGTGCACTGTCCATTGCTTTAGATGATTGACCCCAGTTATATAAACTTGTCCACGAGCACTACTTCTGCTCCTTCTGTCCAGCTGTCCATGTCTCATTCACACTTTCATTCCTCTTCTTTCCAGAACATACCGCCACCTCTCCAGGCTCTCTTCCATTCGCTCCCTGCTCTCACTCATCACAATGTCTTCTGCAAATGTGATAGTCCAGTGACGTTGACACTGTGAAGTTTAAGGATTATAAATGGGAATGAAATGCTGGATTGTGTTTGTGAGACACCATCACAAGAAACATGGCTGTATTGTTTGTTTTAGGTTTAGGAGCCTTTAAATAACTATCGAATATCTTTCTGCCGAAGTATCTATCAAAAAAGGCAAACAGTGCATCACAAGTAGACACATTTGCATCTTTAATTAGATTTCTGGTGAAATGTTAGTTTTTGTTCATTTATTTATTTGTTTGAAAGCAGAGGAAAGTGCTCTCAAACTCCTGAGTCAGAGTTCAGTGAATTCAGAATATTTTAAATTATAGTGATATTTTTCTTTTTTGCTTTGGTGATTTTGAATTCACCCATCAAATAATATTCCATTAAACCCTAGAGCTGTGTAGGACAACTTCTCCAAGAATTTGGCAGCGTAATGCTTTTGCTGGAATTAAAAATGGCTCAGGAAAATGACAGGTTGCATAAGTGTGGAATTTTATATCTGTAGTGAAAACATGTACTGCGTGACTCAGGCTGAGAGAGCACTTGTCTGTGCCAGACAAACTGTAGGCCAGCATTTCGAAGTCAGAGAGGGCAAATGCAAATAAAAACCAATGTTAAGCCTGTAAAAAGCACTCCAGTGAGATTGGTTGAGTTTAACACACACAAAAAAAAAATAGTTCTGCTCACAATGCTCAAATATTAACGCAAATAAATGACAAATGGAAAAGTATTTACCACACACTGATGTAGAAAAGCTTTGCCTGGCGTGTGTTTATTTGCATGTGTCTGTGTTACGCAGGGCTAGGACCACTTGACCACTCTAAGCTGAAGGGTTTCACCGTGCTGACTGCAGTTTTTCTGCACCTGCACTCAGCAACCAGTCTTGAAGTTCCACTGTTTCTTAGAATTCTCGCCGTCCTGGAGCTGAACGGCGACCTGTGACTTGACGGCACATCGTGTAGCACCTTCGAGATCGTGAACACATTCGCAACAATCGCTTCCTCTGATGCAGCACTCAGGAAGCACAAAACCTCAATATTCTGAGCCTTTTGCAAAATCTACCTGCTTTAAATGGCAAAAAATTAAAATTGGGAATTGAGATTTTTGTGCTTTGCAAGAGTTGCTGCTTTTTATTATGTAAAGCTGCTATGGGAAACGTAGATTTTAGGGACTTGGGCACTTAACAGACTGAGATTAAATCAGCTGTTTTTAATACATTTTTAAAGTCTGTCAACCTTTGGAATGACCACGACTTCTGAACTGATTACTTCAAACATGTGTTTGATCTTCATTCATGCCCAAACACCCTGAATCCTACACTTCCCCTAATGCAGCTTTGCTCTCTATACAAACTCCCACAGCCCTCAAACACAGCAGCACCAGTTTGTAATGCAAGCTCTCTCATATAAGCTTCTTTCTAAAAATGTTCCCCCTGAGCCACAGAAGACATTATAAAATATTTTCACAGGAGCACTCCTCCTCATTACGAGCGAGCTGACCTTCAGATGTGGTACTGTATCTGTGAAATGGCTTTTTAACTTAGTCCTGATTTAATGGTTTCTTAAACTACTGTCCCAGCCCTAGCATTTGTGTGTGTGTGTGTGTGTACTGTATTTTTGTGTGAGTGCTTTGACCCTCCTTAATCTGTTTGAGACTGCTCAGGTCACTTGGGCCAGCCTTAGAAACTCACTGGCACCTGGAAGGAGAAGCAAATAGATGTTAACAATTTAAACTCCTGGCAAATTCGGGAAAGCTCCGGTCCTCGGACTGGATCACAGCCCAGCGAAGCGAGAGGCAGCGGAAGCCTGGTTGGCTGCCATTAAGAGAAGCCAAGTGTGTTTGGCAGATAGCGAGTGCAGCCAGCACTGTTGACAAGGGCCCGCTAAGTGGCCCGGACCTTCTGCAAATGAGCAGGAAGGATCAATAGGAAAACTCCTACACTACAGCGGTAGGAGCACTTGCATGGCTCTTACATCCCTCTTGACATCATGAAGGATACTAGACTGTCTTTGTGTTTGGATGTATGTGACAGAAAGATAATTGAGGGAATGATATTTTTTCCTTTACCGGATGAACAGTAAGAGAAAATACACACATCTGCATGTTTTTTTGTTTTGTTTTGTTGTTTTTTTGTTTTACAAGGAAAACACCCACACACCCACACGATGTTCGAACATTGTACTTTCCCCCCAATGAGAATAGTTCCTCAAACCAAAGACGCATCTCTGGAGAGATAATACATTCATTCCAAGCAATGGCGATGAAGATTACAATATCTTGATAGACAAACAGGTTAATTACTTCATGGCTAAAACCTGAGTTATTCCAAAGTATTTCCATATGAAATTGCACAACAATGCACATCAAAAATAAATGATGCATCATTTCTCTTGTAATAGAGTAATTTGCATGACTGAAGCTATGCTAATATATTAATGTGATATATACACACATCAACGTATGGTTTATTTAGTATTTTACTCTGGGGTCTGAGATTATTTGGGAGGTCCAGTCAAAACACAGAACCACAGTATGACAGAATGAATTTCAGGAAGTTTTCTGACGCGCATCATCAGCTTCAAAAATGAAGTCCTTGCAACAGAGGAGTGTGACTCTAATGGTATTTCTTTTGTACACATTTGACATATGGATTTTGCTTTCAAACTCAAGAGGCAGACAGATTTGTTTTCCATGATGCAAACAAATCCAGCTCTCTCTCGCTCCCCCCCCCCCCCCCCTTTTATGTTGATTTGGCCTTTTTTTCCCTGTTAGTCGGTGACCTTTCTTTTTGAAAACGAGGAAGAGCGGAGGCACAGCATAATTTAATTCATCTTCAGCCCCTTGGTCTACTATTGCCTTCCCTCTTCTCCCAGCCTCTCAAGGGTGAACGTGGGTATGACTGTTTGTGTCGAGTCGGCGGGCCGAGCACTACAGCTGAGCAATGTTCAAATGCTGGATCAGTTTTAACAGGTTCCTCGTGGCACTGGAGGGCTCCGCTGCACCATTGATCCAGATGTCTTTGTCACAAAAAATCCTCATAGTCCAACAGCTTGGAGTGTTGCCTCGTCTTCCAAAGGCGGTAGAGGCGGAAGTCAAAGTACGCCTCGATCATCTCTTTGCCTGAGTAGATAGGATAGGATCATTAAAACAAAGACATGAAGTTTAACATACTATAAGAAAGATATCTGTTTTGGGGTTAGAAAACTGGGTGCCCGGTATCTTTATGGGGTCCATCTGGATAGAATAAGGTTTGGGTTTCCTATGAAAATAGGAAATAGGTGGATTGCGTGTTTCTCTAGCCAGGTATGCTTTGACAGTATCTGCAGTGTGTGCGGGGCCACGGTCATGCTGAGAAAGGAAGCTGCTGCCGTTCATACCCTTTCTACAAATGCTACCTTTTTCCATTCATAATTCTATCAATTATGACAAAATCCCCAACAGCAGTGGCTGAAAAGTCGGTTCAAACCATGACGGTGCCTCCACCGTGTTTTTATAGATAGCTGTAGACGCTCACTGTTGTACCTCGTCTAACCTCCTCTTTACTGTTAATGACAATCTGAAACAAAAATTTCACATTTGGATTCATCACTCCACTGACTTTTCGATCCAGTGCTTGTGTAATTTTGCATACTTCAATCTTTTGTATTGTTCCTCCTTCTTTAAGTATGGCTTCTTGGCAGTCTCACTTCCATTAAGTCACTTCTAATAAGGTTTTTGCAAATAGTAGGAATAACTGAAGAGCCAGAGATGTCTCTCGAGAATTATTGCTCAGGGCCACTCTAGAAATGACAAGAAAGTCTGGCTCCTTGGAAGTAAAATAGGAGGAAATGAGGGAAAGCTCACGACTTCTACACAGCATTATACTACCGGTACTATAAAAATGAACCTTAGCCAGAAAAGCAAATCCTGTTTGATAAATGAGAGGTGTGGATTTTCAGAGCAGTGGGCTTTAAGGAGGCAGGAGAAGTGTAATGAGAGATGCTTTCATTGTTTTTGATTTGTTTAGATAAAGAGAATCTATATCTCAGCCTTTGTTTGTTGCTGATTTTCTTGCTATCAGTAATTGTGGTAAACAACAATCTGAAAAGAATTTGCTGCTCTTAGACATTAAAACTTGGAGTTTAAGAGTTTGCTAATAATCAAAATGCAATCAAGGACACAACTTTGATTTCTGCTGTAGAACCATTTCTTTGTCTTTGCTTTAGGGTACTCTACATTTGTATATGCCGATGCTGATGCCTTTTTAGAACAAATGTAAAGGAAATCTGGAACTGGGTGTAAGTAAAACGCTCTAAATGTTCCTGGAGATGAGAACAGGCTTGTTTTTAATACTGATTGTGATACTGAATACTGTACATCCGTACTCCCACATGAGGCTAGAAAGGAGATGTGCAGGTCTCCAAGTGCTCAGTAACAGCACTGGACTGGGTGCTGTGCAAAGTTTGGAGTAGGAAATCTAAAAAAATGAGTTGCATTAAACATCACTTTAACACCAAAACATCAAGAAGCCACCCTAACAGAAGAGGATGATTATAAATAAAACGCAAGTGATTATTAAAGAAGAAATTGAACAAAAAGGAGATGACTGTGAAAATAAATCAGATTTTTAAAATGAGGGAACAGCTGTTTGAGTAAATTCCTTGTGCAGTTGTTAAAGCAGGACAGATGGCACGTGTCCGTATCATTTCATATTTACCAGACGTATCGCACACTTCTGTGTGTGCGCAAGTCCCTCTACAGCACACGTTTGAGTGCGTTGGGATGTTTGTGTGGACCTACCCTGTGCAGACAGCTCCAGCGGTGACTCGAACTCAACAGAATAAGGCCTCATCAGATTCTTCAGCTTCTGGAACAGCTGTTGAGTTGAGATAAGAGAGCAAACACCAATTAATCGCATTTCACTTGACTACACTTGCAGAGGGGTCGTCTGCATCGCCTGACAAGCTCACAAACACAGAAAAACAACAGGAGGATTGCAATAAATTCAGCTTCATATGGCCAAAGACACAAATGCACACTCAGAAAGACAGAAACATCAATTCCCAGCTTTAAATTTAGACGAGATTTTTGAATTTTTGATCACAACTGATGGATTACTGAACAAGAAAACAATCACTAGTCGCCACCTTAATTACCTTATAGCACCAATGTGCTGCTGTCTGTTTCAGAAAAAGAGAATCTCTCCTTTTCTAACACGGGAGATCCTTCATGACCAAATTCAGGCAAGAAACTTAAAGGGCAAGAAAAGCATTTCTTTTCCACTTTATGATGTGTTATCACTTTATCATGTGATTTTGTCGTGCAAATCCTGTGTTGTGGCTAACTGAAGCCATGCGGTGTATTTATGTGTTACAAATACTTCTGTTTTTTTCTAAGTGTTTGCGTTGTGCAGTCTGGAGTGAAGCATCTAGGAAAATATGTGGCTGTTTACAAAGGGACTGAAACGGGAGCCAAGATAATTCCATTAAAACTTTGGATAAACAGGCAGCATGGATGATGTGCTGTTCAGTGGCTACAAAACAGAAAACAGTAAATGAGATGTTAATTCTGATTCGCCAAACATATGAACAGTTTTGTGTGGAAAAACCTGACCACCTTCCCATCAACCATCATCACTGCCCAGCCTCATCAATGTTTTTGTGTCAGCAAATCCATGCTGCTAGGTTGGAGGCTCTCATAGCATCATAGAGCATAATGAATAAAAGTGTTCAACTGATGTTGGCAGTGTTTAAACAGAGAAACACTGAGACAGGAAGCAAATGCAGATCTCAAAACTATACCAAACCCCTGGAAAAAAGGACTTTGTGTTGTTTTGGATTCACACACTGGTGAAAGCAATGTTCATATTTGTCTGTTTGTTTGTCAGGGTGTATATTTCACCGCTGTGCAGACTGTCCAACACTGGAGAGATCCACTAAGCATTTTGGCAGACATGACTGGAACACAGTTAGGTCAGACTAACACCGCTGGTTAGAGTTTATATCTGTGTCTGCATCTGTGCATGCCATCATGTTTGTATTTGTGTATGTGTGTGTGTCTATTTGTGTGTGTGTGTGTGTGTGTAAATAATTATTTATGTGATTATTTATTAGGGAGGAGGAGATATGTGTGTATATGGCTGGCTTTGTGTCTTAGTTGTTCACATCAGCTAGAGGGGTGCGGTATCATTCAGCATTTGTGTTATTCAGCTCTATCCATTAACATTACTCAGAATGAGATAATAGCTGCACAGGTGGAAGAGGAGATGAGGAGAAAACAAGAAAGCCAGCGGGGCTGCACACTGATCAGACAAAGAGGCATATAAACAGACACAAGGAGCAGATATGAAAGCAGTGGGCGGCAAACAGAAAATGAGTACAGAGAGAGGGAGAAGAGACAAGATTGGGCAGGAGTGACTGTAATGGTAAGAAACAAACCATCCCAAGTTATGAAATCAGTGCTATTTATATATAGAACTCATTTATATATATAACTATGATCGGTTCTACTTTAACACGATGTGCCTGGGATTTACTGATGAGCACTGCATCTTACGCATTTCTTTTCACCAAAATTCACACTAACAGAAGCGTTGTGCATTATCACATCATTCGTATATTGATACCATTAATAGCTTGATAGCTATATATAACAGAGCTGACTGATATTTCGTCCGATATTTGCTGTTTGCCGATTTTTACTGATGTTGCAATCATGCGATGAGTGTCGTTGTTGCATAGTTTTTATCTTATACCTGAAGGAATTCTGCAACATCCTTGATGTCGACAAGTGGTGATGGGGCTGAACTAGTTCTTAGAACTTTCACTTTATCTTCACAGACTCCTTCAATACTCTTGGCATGTATTTAAATACACAAAAGGACTAGATCTCACATATTAGTGACTAAGTAATGTTATGTTTTTTAAGGTGCTTTTTGTATAACTAACTGTTTGATTACATTAGACATTAGTTACTAAGCTAACAACCCATGTGCTTTAAGGAGCAAGAATTTCACGTTATTTCAGTAAAACTTTAAGCTGACTAGTAAGACTACCGGTACTAACTACCTGCTACTAGCAAGACTATTCACTCAATAAGTAACAATGTGAAATATTAATTTATTCAACATTCTTATCTACTATCTACTGTCTGTAAATCATAAAGAAAACCACCTGACCAAAGTTCAATAAAAGTTAATGTTGCTGGAGAGCTGATGGACTTCCTCCAATCGCGTCTCCAATCCTCTGTTCTTCTAAAAATCAGCATTGTCAGTGGAGATTGCTATCGCTCAATAGTAAAATTTTACATATTCAAATAAATGTAATTTACATTTACATTCACATAAATTTAAATGATACATTTGTAAGAGCTGTTGTGATGGATTCCAATACAAATGATTAAAACTGTGACTGAGTATTAGATGAATATTTGGGCGTTTCTACAGTATTCTAGCCTATACGAGTAAACCTGCTAATTAGAAGTGAGGAAAGCATGGATAATATTGATTTGTTTCTACAATTACTGCACTCATTTTGCTGTGAGTTTGTGTAGTAGTGATCTAAATACCTTCTCGCCATTGGGGTTACCCAGGACATAGCATCCCATTATGTGGATCAGGTTTGGTTCTGGATTGACTTTACTCATGAAGCGACTGAGTCTCCTCCAGAATCTGAACAAATTCAAAGAGTACAGTTACATGGGATAATGCTTTAATAAAGAACACAGACAGGCTGAAAAATGCAAAGTAAAATGGGCAAGCATTTAAAATCAAATGCAACATTCAGACAAGCCAGATTCAAGACATGATTTGTATAACAAACAAATGTGATCAAGTCAAAATGTTCCCCTGTACAAGAAGAATAACAATAGATGGTGCACATAAATGCAAAAAATTGTAGAGATAGTGCTGCATGGTCCCAGAGGAACATCGCTGATTTGATCAAGTGGGAGAGCATTCAAAGAAAGAGTATTAAAAGAGCATTAAGAGCATACTTGTTATATGAACCTTAAACACACAATGAAAGTTATTAACTTATCATGAGCTCTATGTGCTTTTTTCATTTGCATTGCTTAAGAGCAATGGCAATGGTTAGCTGTTTGTCATGTTTTCTGTATTTATGTAAGTGCAGTTAGGCCCATCATTTGTTGGAACAGTCATTATAGTTTTGCCACTGTATTCAGTGGAGTACAATTTTAAATCAAACAGTCAATGTAATTGAAGTACAAACTTTACAGCTTTAATTTAAGGGCTTTTACAAATGTATTGCATTAACTGTTTAGAAATTACAGTCATTTTTATACACAGTGTCTCCATTTTCAGAGGCTCAACATTAATTGGAAAATTAATTGACAACCAGTTTCATAGCCAGCACTTGTCACTGCCTTCATGAATGGAAATACAGAGGGTTTACAACAAGGTGTCAACTACTGGTTACATTCAAGAGCTGGTTTTGGCCAGAAACCTCTGGAAAGAGCTCGCTGGTGAAGAAATTCTTTGGACGGATTAAAAACAAGATTAACTTCTAGCAGAATGATGGGAAGTGAAAAGTATGTAGAAGCAAGGAATAACTTATGATCCAGAGCATACCACATTATCTGTCAAACATGGAGGAGGCAATTATATGGCATATATGGCTGCCAGTGGAGCCGGGCCAATAGTGTTTATTGATGATGTGACTGCTGACAGAAGCAGCGGGATAAATTCTGAAGTATACAGGCCTATACTCTCTGCTCAGATTCAGCCAAATGCTGCAAAACTGATCAGATGGTGCTTCACATTGCAAATGGATAATGACCCAAAATATACTGCAAAGGCAACGCAAAAGTTTCCCAAAGCTATCAGATATTCTTCAATGGCCAAATCAGTCACCTGATCTCTACTCAATAGCAGGTTTTCAGTTATAAGATACAAACCTGAAGGCAAAGAGACCCACAAACATGCACAAACAGAACAAATCGAAGTGAGGAAACAGTATTTGGTGATGTCCTGTACACTGTCTGAGAGACAATCAATGACTTCCCGTCAAAGTACTGAAAACAATCCTTATATTAGAACTTATGTTGGTTTGTCCCGTTAATTTTGATCCTCTGAAAACGGAGAACAAATTCCTAAAAATTTAATACGTTTTTTGGGTAAAACCTCCTGAATTAAAACTGATAGTCTGCACTTAATTGTTGTCGTGTACAGAGGCAAAACTAAAGAAACTGTTCCTTTGTTCAACAATTTATGGAGATAAAATGTATTTAACCATTAAATAAAGGTTAAAAGAAAAAAGCATGCACTGGCTTATGGCCATGCTTTATAAGATGTGGTAAATAAATAGGAATTGTTGCACTATTCTACATTACTGTGGCATAAACTAATATTCATTAAGGAGAGATGGACCCTAATGTCCAGAATTAGCTTACTGGCTCATGTCCTCCTCTTTTTCCACCTTAGCAAACGTTGCCACTTTATTCTTCAGTAAATACAGATGACCAGGGCCTCCCTGCAAAAAAAGTATACAGTATGTTATAGATCCTCAAACCGAAGCCAAGCTAAACCAAATACATGCATATTATTCATCGTCCCTTTACTATCCATGAAATTCATTTTCAGAAATAATTGCATTGAAAAAGGGATATCGTTGTGGAAAAATACACTATGTACAATACATAAATGCGTGCTTTAGGGTAGGACAGTTAATAAGTAAAATATTCAATTTTAATAGGAATAAAATTCTTGTTCCTCACTTGACAAAAGATGAGCATCCTCCAGAACTTGCTTCCTCTCCTGTAAGCTGTGAGCTTCTTGTCTATTTCCTCTGTGAGCAAGAGGGGGAAAGGGAGGGATTGATGTGAATGACAGGGACCGAGAGAGGGAGAGAAAAAAGAAAAGCGAAGCGACGTGTAAGAATGTAGGAAGAGAGGAAGAACACAAAGAGAATCCCAGGAGGGTGAGTTCAAGTACAGGTGTAGTAATAGACAGCGGAGACACAAACAGAAGATGTAATTTAAATTGAACTCAACACTGTGTTCTTCAGGCGTCAGAAAGTGTCATCGTAAAATAAAACAGCTCGATGAATTTCAAATGAAAATCTGTATGTATCTGTAAAAACATCCATGGGCATCCTTGTACCTTCTATATGAGAGCTCTAATCAATGCAGAGATCATTATTACATTAGGAAACTCTGGAGAATGTGACTGTAAATGCCTCAGTGTTCAGAGGGGAGAAATCCATTGCAGCACTAAACAGTTTCTAAATAAATAAGCCACATTAGCCAAATCTAAGTTAATTTCTCGAGATTTGAAAGCAAGTAAGGTTTATCCACAAGATATTTGTGTGACCTTTAACTCCACAGGCAACACTATAAAGTAAAGATGCCTGTTTTCTATTTCACAGGAAGGAATTGACCTCATGTTTTATTCTGTTTATTCTGACAGGATGTTATGTAAGTCTTTTGTATCTATACAAATTTCATTATTCATCATGTCACTTGTTAAACATTTACTTTCAGGCTCAAAAATGTTTGGCAGTAGATGTATTTCATACACATAGTTTTATATTCCATTAGTGAAGTTTTGATTGTAGAAAGAAAGTGAGAATTAAAAAATAATAAAGAAGAAGTAGTGAAGGTGAAAATGGCAGAGAAGAACACGCACTCCACAGAAATACTCACCCAAAATATCATCAAAAGTTGCATGTTCATGGTCCTGAAGAAAATGAAAATTATACAAAACATCTTAGCAAAGGCAGTTTGCATGGTTGATATATGTGTATATTTTAGTGTGACTTTCTGTAGTTCTTGTCTACTGTATGTTTCGGTGCATTCCACTCACATAGAGGATGGGAATGATGGAGGGGTCGTCCCTACGGATTATGGTGGGAATGTACTCGGCCTTGGGGACCTTAGAAGAGATCAGCTAAACATGAAGCAGAAACAGCAGAGGAGCGGAAACTTGTTAGTTTCGATGTAAGATGGAAAAGGACAAGAATTAATACAAAGAGAAAAGAGGAAAAGGCAGAATTTCTTATCGTACGCTTATATTTTATTACAACTATGCCCTAGGTAATATTCTACAGATGTAATAAAGATGTAGATTTTGTATATGTCTTAATTACTAGAGAATAAAAACAAAACAAGAATGATTATAATAATTTTAATGGACACTCACTGGCTACTTTGTATTCCTCTTCAATTGTTTCTAATCAGCCAATCACATGACAGGCCAATCAGCCTATCCGATTATTGTTGCTGACCATAGCCATCACTTTATGACCAAGGTGTACTCATGTTGATGATGGCTACAGCTCAAATCATCTCAAGCTGTTGTTTCTTGAACAGGGCAGTGACTTCATTTCACTCAAATGGCCTCCACAGCCAAAAATCATCAACCCAAATAAGCACATTTGGGATGTGGTGGCGATATGGGAGATTTGCATCAAAGATGTGCAGCCATTCAATCTACAGCAACATTGTGATGTGATCATGTCAACACTGACCAAACTATCAAAGAAAAGTTTCAAACGGCTTGTTGTTTCAGTACCAATAAGCATGTAGGCAGTTACATGGTTAAAATAACTAATTCAGTTCCTTGTGAACAAAACCAACAGGACAGAAAACAATAACCAAGGATGATGCACCCATATAATGTTCCCTTATGGATCTCTTACCATGATTTTGGGAGGTATAAAGTCATCTCCCTCACATGCCAGCCTCTCCATCTCCCTTTCCTCCTCCCAGTCTATATTGTCGTCGAGACCTCCTTCATCCAGAGTGCCACAAGAGGTCTGCAGGTCTCCACCTGCAGAAAATGTAAGATAAAGAAGGTCTGAGATAATAGAGTGTAAGCAAGTTGTTGGAAGTTGGGTGAGAGGCAAGAAAGGTGACAGAGAAAGAGAAACTCGGGGAATGAAGGATGGATGTGTCCAGGAAGTGAAGCAAGGTGAGTGCGGGGGAGAGAGAAAGGATGGAGCTGTTAATGATGGCAATGGCATACAAAAATGGCAGGTGGAATAGGAAAAAGCAGAGAGTAGCAAAAACAATGGGGAAAAAAAAAGAAAATGACTGATGGGAAGCATAGCAGCAAGATTTCAGGTGTCAACTACAAAAAATGGGCTAGAAAAATCGAACTTAGTCTGGAGACCGGTTATTGTAAAGCAGGGACATGTTACAGGACACATATCGAGTACAATAATTATCCATATGTTTAATTAGTTCTAAAACCGTTGACTAACTATCCACGTACAAATGTTTGGTGGCCAGTGCTGTTACATGTCTCTTCTGATCAATGTCCAAGAATGAGCATATTAACCTTTCATTCTATTAAATTCTATATTGGACCTGTGTTACCACTGAAATGTGAAACACAGTATTGAATAAGGCAATGCTGTAATGTTTGTTGGCCAAATAATTACCTGCCTGTTCACAAACAGAGGGCTTTATTTATGTGATTTCAGATTATACTATAGTAACAAGGGGTTAATAGTTAATAACTGTAATGATGCTCACTCACATCTTTTCTCGGAAGGTTAAAATCTTCCATATTTATTAATACAGAAACACTTAGGCTCGTTCACACTGATCCACCCATGTTGTGGCTGAAACCTTTGTAGATCCCAATATTTGGCTTGGTTTATTACATCTGAGATTTTTGTACCAGTGGACATTTGTTGGACATCACGTCAGGCTTGTGTGTGTTTTGTTGCTTGTTGTTTTGTTGACATGGTTTGATGTGAAATTTACGTTAACTGCACTAATGAGAGACACGAACATGCTCGCTCCTGAGCCGTGTTTCTTTGATGTGTGACCAGTTGGTATGGTATGAGACTATTGAAATGAAACAGCGTGAAAACTGAGGAAATGATAAACAAGACTGACATCAAAGTCTCCAGGAAACCGCCTGTGATTTAACACCACTCTTCCCCACAACAAAAAAAAAGCGAAAAATATGGGCTCAACCACACTTTTAAGCTGCAATAAACAACTCGTTAATCTTTCATTAGACTATGGAAGACAGAAAGACGATGAATGCAGTTTAGCATGATTCAAAGCCTTCCAGAAACACTGAGACACATACGCCTACAACAGTCAGCTGACAGGGCTTGACTTAAGACACACACCATTTTTGAGGACGTACTCACAGAAAGAGAGAGCATCACAAAGTTGAAAAAGACCCACGGTCATACGCAGACAGATGAACAGGGTCAGAGTCGACAGCAGAGACAGTCAGTTTGTACGTGTGAACGTGTGATTCTACGAGTGTCCACAGATTTGATTTTCCTGTGTTAGTTGGCCTTGAACTGCCAAAATCAGGAAGTGAGCTGTAAGACTGCAGCAACAAAATGTCATCTTATTTCAAGGGAGAGAGAGAGAGCGCGACAGCACTGTGACACGTACTGTCCATGAAATGTGACTTTTATTTTCAACTGACTACAAACAATGAAACAATGATAACCTTATGTGGATCTTATTAGGTCGCTTTTCAGTTCTGAATACTGGAAATCTTGAGATGATTGTGGTAAAAATGATTATTTGGGGATTTTTATAAAGACTTTAATACTGTAATATCATTTAGTAGTGTCTTATTTATTTATTTCTCTACATTTTATTGCAAATGCAAAGTCTCTGACTGCATTCTTAATGATTTGGTGGGTTGGCCATCACTGACCACTCAAAGAAAGCAGCGCTGGTTTATTTTCTGTTAAAGCTGTTTTAGTTCTATATTGGTGTGTCAAACATAAGGCAAAGGGCCTAGAATTGGCCCAGCAAAAGCTCCAATTTGGCCCATCGCATGGACTTACAATTGTATTTTCTTTGTTTTTACATCTTTTACAACATTCATACTACATCAAAGTAACTGAGTAAAGGCAAAACTGTTTTTTGTTTTACCTTTCTTTTTTCTGTTTTATAATTACACCCCTCAAATTTACACATTTATTTTCTTTACAACTTAAGCCCAAAGAGTAGTGCTGATGGATTACTTTGATTTATTCTGATTTACTTTTACCTATACAGCACTTCTTTATCATGTAGAGAAACTGAGACATACTGTTGAAAATTCATTTTAATATCCAGGGATTAAATGTGTAGTCACACTCGACAGAAAGAGAACTTTCACTGCTATTAAATAGCAGCTACTCCCTTTAGATGCTTGCTTTTTGACGAGATCTGGCAGATCTGGGAAAACAGCGTTTCGTTCCTATGCACCTTGTACAGGGAATACTTTACAGAAAGACCTCCATTTAACATGCCACTACCTATTGATGCATTCAAAAACATAATAAGGAAAGCAGTGAAGAAGACTTGTGGGCGTTTCTTTTGAGAAGCCATTTAATGTTTTATGTTATGGGTATTTTGACATTATGGATAATGTTGTGGATTTATATTTTATGTTTTATTTGTAGAATTATTATTTAGATGTTTTGGGTTGAGAGATTGTGATCTCAATGCGACTTCCTAATAAAATACAAGTAACACAAGGATACGTCTGATTTAGCCTCAGTCAACTCATACTCTTATGTCAAAGCGTTGAATAGCAGACCTTTAGTGTTTCATGAGAAATGCTAAGTGGCTTTCAACTTCTTGTGAGTCACCTGAGTGTGGAAATTCATTAATGACAGGGCACGAAGCCAACTCAAGCTGTAATCAATCTGACAGTCAAAATGTGATTGCTCAAAGGGACGCATGGATGATTTCTGACCGCACACGTAATGCACTGACTGAAATTTATTCTCACAATTTTCATTTCTGTTGTCCTGTCAGACTTAATTTGTGGTTAACATCTGTAATAGACACTCTTGCATATGGATGTCAGGTTGATATTTAATTTATGTTGTTGCCAGCTGATGGTGCTGGGAAGCAGCGTGACTTAATTTAAAATATGGACTCTTACAGAACCAGGTCAGGCTTTTTTTGTTTTGTTTTGTAAATGCTAGAAATAGAAACTGACAAAATTTATCAAGCAAAACATTCGCTGCTTGCAAGCATGTGCTAATAATATTCGTCTACGAGGTTTAAAACCTTTTTTAAAGGGAATGTTTTTGTGCTCATCTCACTTTGCTTAAATGCAAAGTTTTATGTCAACGTCCCAACATTCACGACTGCAAATTTTGCTACATACAAATTAAAAGTCACCTATTAGGTTTGTCCTTATTTTTCTTATCCAACTACAAGGTGGATGTCCATATTAAATGTTGCTTAAATGTAGTATATGCAGAAGTAATCTCTGTGACCCAAAGGTTCAGACTTGAAGCTACGCTTAAAGCTTGGTTTGCAAAGGTTTCCCCCCTTTTTATCAAGATGGGGTAAGTAATTTTAGCACAGATTTCCTTGTATGTTAAAAAACTTGACTCTGGAAGCCCGATGAGAGAATGTTAAAACCTCCCTATTTAAGTGTTTGTAATCTGGTTAGCTTGAAAAACAACATTTTCTCTCTAACTATTTGCGTCTGCTCTCTGCAGCTGTCAGCAACTCTTTGTTGGTGTCTGTTTGTTTGTCGTTGTGTGCACATGTGTGAGACTGCGTAAACTCACTCTCTCTGGGTTCATGAGGAGAGTCATTCTTGACAGGGGTGGGATCACTCCAGGAACGGCTGAAACTCTTCGATCTACGTTCAGCGAATGCTAGTGCAGGCGGGGAGAGAGAAACCTGCAAACTGGCTGTTTCTGCTATACACTCACCATCTTCAACACATGAAAGCGCAAAGGTGGATGGAGGAAGTGCACAAATGTAGTGTAAATACGATGGCATCTCTCCTCTGCACAAACTGCCTACATGTACAAACGAACAAACACGTACTGTACAGTAGACAAACAGTCATCCTCTCCTCGCTCCAGTTTCTATATCCTACCAGCTTCACTGAGCTACTCTGCGATAAAATCTGTTCTGCTTTGAACAGTAATCACTGTGCTCTTAGAATATTTTTAGACTACTTGAAAGTGTTTGATACAGTTAATCAACAGTGGTCCTCAGGGCATCATATTTTTTGGCTTGTGTGGATTTTCAGGACGATGGGTCCTGACTAGGGATGGGTACCGGTATCGGTTCTGACATAAACGGTAGTAACCAGACCGAAAAGCAGCGCACATTTCAGTGCTTTATTTCGGTGCTTTT